TTTGCTGAGTCTGTCAATTAGTGAGTTCTTTTGTTTTATCTCTGAGTCTCTGTTATGTGGTGAATGTGCTGACTTTGCCTAGCATGAGTTAACTTTGGCCTGTAGCTTTAACAAGGGGTATTTACATAAAACTAGCCTTGAACTAACTTAGTCTACATATGCTTCTAAGGCTAATTTGGTTTATACTAACTTAACCTATATGTTAATTTTGGCTTAAAACAGACAGGTGGGGGAGTCTCAAACTTCCTGGCCCTTGCCTGCGGCCTGTCTTAGGGAACCACATTCCTACAAGATCACTAATTGGCTTTATTGTAATGGTTAGGGGTGATATTTTACCCTTGCAGGGTACCGTAATAACAGTATAACTCACGGCAGAGGAATTGACTACAGGCCAGTAAACGACACAAGGAAGGGCTCGTAAACTGGGCCGTGCCTCAGTTTCTTCCCAGTCCAGGACTTGCTTAGAATGGGAGGCAGCCTCCTACCAGCTTGTGTTGTCTGCATTTCCCCGTCAGCTAGGAATTGTTTGTACTGAACATCAAGCTCTTAAGCGATGTCTTTGATCTTGGCCTGCTCAGCCAGAGAACTTCTGCACACCTCAGTGGAGCCTCCATGTGGCTGTTCCTGGAACCTCACAGTTTCTTGAGGTCATAAAGAACACGGTTCAACTAAAAACTCTAAAGGCTAAGGTTCCTTTATTTTTTTCCCTCAGGAATTCATCACCAAGGATCTAAGAAAAAATTTTGCTTATTATATGGGGCTGTCAGATCCAGAGGGACAGAGACATTGGCAATGGGTTGATCAGACGCCATACAATAAAAATGTCACGTGAGTATGAATGAGATAATGAGTCCTCATCCTAGACTGTGCACAATTTAGGTTGTTTTAGCTATGAGCTATTAAACAAAACAACAAAAATTCTGAAAAATTCCATCAACACCTTTCTGTAAAAACCTAGTGTATATATTTTAAAATTTTACTTATTATTGTTATTTTTAATTTGCTTTAGAATACATGAACTCACCAGAGAGAGACAGAGGGAGAGAGAGAGGGAAAGTGAAAAAGTAAGCCACCTGGTCTGGGGATCAAAACATGGTAGGCCATGTGGGAGTTCAGCACCTTAACCAACACGCTAAGTGTATTTGACATCAGTTTCTATGCTTTTAACACTATGCTTCTAAATAAGACAAAGAGAAATTATGTCAATTATGAGCATAATTGGGGACCAGCAGATGGCATAATGGTTACATCGCTGGACTCCCATGTAGCTGACCATGGTTTGAGTTCTGGACCCGGCAGCTTAAAATTCACAGTGACATTTTGAGTACATACTCAAAATCCCAAGGGGAGAAAGGATTGCAGCATGGCCATCCTCTTTGGGGTGGGGTGGGGGTGATCTTTTCACTTTCTGTTTCTCTATCTCTCTGGAGCACACATGCACCCTATAGCAAAAATCTCTTAAAAAAAAAAGAGAGATAAAAAAAAAGAATGATTCAATATTTCTCATAAAGCAAACATGTTAATTCTGATAGCTTTATAATAATTCTTATTTATATAAATCTTTGTCTTATTTTATTTTAAAAATTTGCTATGGGGCACATACACTTCTTGGAGAAAGACAGAGAAAGATGAAGAGAGGGAAAGTGAAAAATCACCCCCCAGGAGTGATTTCCCTTCTCTTCCATCTCTTCTTGGGACTTTAGGCACACTGACACACATGCCTGGAGTGTTTTTAAAGCCCCAGGACCAGGACTATAATTGTCCAGTTGGCCATATGGAATTCAGTCCCCTTAACCACCACACCACCTGCTGGTTCTATATAATTCTTTTAAAAATTTAAGTACTTTAGTATATATTTGCCATTCATATCAACTGTGTTAAAAGATGCATAAGGATGTTACTCTAGTCCCCAGGTTTTGTTTTTATTTTGTTTTTTTTTTTTAGATAGGAAAACTGAACATCAGGGAATTTAAATTTACTTGCCAAAGTAACAGGAAATAAATAGCTGAAATTTACTAGATCTGAGAAATATAACTAGATCTTCCCAAAGTCCCAAATCAGTGCATGGTTGGGAGGGGGGATATACTCATTCTGGGAGCAGAAGGGAATATTTTGATCATTTAAGGAATCCTGTGATAGCGATGCAAGAATACATGGGGCAGGGGTGATCGGGCCCACTGGTCACATGGGACATGGGCTCTTGTCTCACATTCACAAAATATCAGAGACACAGATGCACAGGAGGGTATAGCAAGGTGGGGAGTTTATTAAAGGAGAGGGAAGGAAAGACAGAGCTTCAAGAAGGAGGGAGGAGTCTCAGAAAATGGGTTGCTGAGGAGGAACTGGAGTGAGGAGTTTTTATGTGGGTCAGAGGGGCCTTGTTCAGGCTTGTTTGGGAGTAGGTACGAAGGCCAGGAGAAGCTTTGTCTAGAAGCTTTGGCCCATGAATTCTTCAAGAACAAGATTTGCATGTCCAAGGGCCAAGGAATACATATGGTGACTGGGAGAAGAGGAATTGTCAGGACGCCAGAGCACAGCAGCTGTCCTTGGGGCTGAGGGGCACCCTATCTACCTGTAAATGGGCTCTAACTCCTGTCTAAATATCAGTAACTTACGACAATGGGACGTGAGGGTGGAAATACTAGGAATCCTGTGGCACATACGCTGAGTAAGATGACAGCACACTGGGTCACGTGAGGATGGTTTTCCTGGAAATACCAGAGACAGGTGAAGGAGAAAGTACCTGAACGTGAGGGTTTGTTTGTGTGTTTTGAGATTTCTTTCGTTACAGGGCACATGCATTCACTGGAGAGACAGAGAGACAGAAAGCGAGATATCACCTCCCAGTGGGGGGGTGACCACATCACCATTCTTTTTCCTCCATTCTCCTCCTCCGGATTTTGGGAAGACACACACACACACACACACACACACACACACACACACACCCCACGTGAGTTTCAAGCTGCTAGATCCTGGATTGGAACTGCAGCTGACCATATTAGAGTCCAGCACCTTAACCACTACTCCCCCTGCTGGCCTCCAACTTGGAGGTTTTACAAGCCTGACAACAGAAGGGGGAAGGAGGAGTTTGTTTATACTTGACCGTGGCATTCAGATTTCACCCCAGCACCTGATATTCTCTAACCTTTTTGAAAACGCTGTTTTTGGAAATGCCCTCATCTTTTTTCCCTCTCTTAGATTCTGGCACCCAGGTGAACCCAGTGATACTGTTGAGCGCTGTGTCATAATAAACTTTTCTCGCAAAACATGGGGCTGGAATGATGCTCGTTGTCCTCAACCTCAGCATTCAATCTGCAAGATGAAGGAGATTTTCTTGCGAATGTAACATTCTCCATGGAAGAGTGTGTCTGTTTTTATACTATTATCAATACTATTTTTGTAATGTGTATTGCAAGTATGATGGAAGGAAGTGTGATACTTCCAGCTTTGTTCTTCAAGATTGACCTGGCTCTGTGTGTGTGTGTGTGTGTGTGTGTGTGTGTGTGTGTGTGATTCCATATGAAGTTTCCAATTTCTCTATTTCTGTGAAAAATATCACTGAAATTTTAATAGGCATTATATTAAATCTGGAACCACTTTTGGTAGTATGATTGTGTTAACATTAGAAATTTTTTTTCAACAAGTGAACACGGAATATATTTCTTTGTGTTTTCTTATATTCTTTTTTTTTTAAGAGAGATTTTTTTTTACAGTACTCACTGAAGAAACAGAGAGAGACGGAGAGACAGAAAACAAGAAATCACTCCCCCAGGGGGATGGGCACGCTGCAGTCTCTTCTCAATTCTCCTTTCAGGATTTTGGGCATGCACACATATGGACCTGGCGTGAGCTTCAAGCTGCCAGGTCTGGGACTCAAACCTTAGTGGGACACGTAGGAGGTCAGAGCCTTAATCTCTATGCTACCTGCTGGCCCTTCTTTAATTCCTTTCATTAATATTTAATAGTGTTCAATGTATAAGACTTTCACCTCTTTGGTTAAACTTACTCCTAAATATTTTATTCTTTCCAACACCTTTGGAAACAGGATTTTTTAAAAAAAATTTCTCTTCAAACAGTTTGTTGTGAGTGTATAGAAATGCAAGTGATTTTTTATTTCAGATGTTGTGGGTATGCTCCACACATTGAACTCTCTTCACCCTACTTTGTTCCTGTTTTGTGGGGGGAACTAGCTACAGATTACAGCTGGACATCATGAGCATCTTGTGACTGTTTTACTTCATGGAATTTACCCACAGCTGGGGCACTAGGGAGGACGTGTGATAGGCAGTTCGCTAGAACTGGGTGGGAAGCCCTAAGATAACAGCAGGACGCTTGTCACATCAATAACAACTTATCGGGAGTTAAGTCGGACCATCTGCAGAGACTCCTTCCTCCCACCCAGCTCCGGGTGCCGGGAAGGCAAGGCAGGTCTCATTTTCCTTCTTTAGTACCTAAGAGAGACACATAGGGATGGTTGTCAATTTCCCTCTTATCATTTCTCATAAATATCAAAGGACCCAACAGGACGTTTTGGTCAACATCTTGGTTCCCACTAGGGCAATGAACGAACTGGGCAGTTCACCCAAATACGGATGCAGCCAGCATCAGAGCTCACTGAGCGTGCACGACTAGGTAATCACATTCCTCAGAGTCTTCATCTGAGAGAGAGATGCACAGGCACAGGAGGAAGCCCACGAATTCGAAGAACATAGACGGGTGACAGACCTCCTGCTGCTGTGACAGACCTCTTGCTGCTAAATATTCCTTATCAGTTCTTAGAATAAATTTAACACCTAACCCCACGGCCCGGTGCAGTTGTCCTCCTCCACCAGCGGCCCACCTGCATGTCTTTTCGGCAAGGTACTTCTTTTCTATTAAAAATCTCTACTTGCATATTAAAACTTCCCTTTTCCTACTTTACAAGTGTTTGTGTTTTTTTTAATTTTGTGTCTCAGGACAGGTCTCTAATCTTAGAGTTCTGGACCTAAAGAACCAAAGGTTTTACACAATGCAACTGAACTCTCCCGTCCTGTGACAGATGCACAGCTCTTCCATCGCAACCTGACAAGATTAGAGGCACCAAATCACAAACACTACCTACTGATTCTGTTGAATGATAAAGTAACCTTTTATTGCAATCCTTAAACAATGAATGTGGAAATCAGTCCCCTGTCTTGAAGGCAGATAGTCTGCATTGATTTTTTTTCATTGGTTTAGGAATGTGTTCTCCCCCCCCCCCATGAATTATTTATTTAATTTTATTTAACATTGTTATTATTATTATTTTTTAATTTGCTATAGGGCATGTGCACTTGCCAGAAAGAGAAAGAGAGAAAGTGAGAAAACAAGTTCTCAGGTCTGGAACTTGAACCATAGACACCCACGTGAGAGTTCAGCCCTTGTCCAGCACACTACCTGCTGGCCCAGTATGCTTTGTCCTTAACATATCTAGCCTAAGCTTGCGCTCACTTATAAACCAGATCACTTATCCACTGGCCGTTATCAGGCCATCCCATCCTGCTCTGCTCTGTGTCAGTAAATGAGCTCCTATTTTCCCCTGTTGGATCTCCAGGTGGAGATGTGGAGCAGGGGCAATCAGGCCTTAGCACCCACCATGAGACACGGGTTCTTGACTGCAGCTCTTGAAGAATTAGAGACCTGGACGTGTGTAGGCAAGTGGAGTTTATTAGAGAAGGAAGGAAAGCGTTTCAGAGCATGAAAGGGGAGTTCTCAAGTGAGAAGCCTGGGTGTGGTAAGGGTTTTTTTTAAATCTCATTTAGGTGGGGCTCTGCCCCAGCTAGTCCTACTGAAAGACTAGTGTATGCTTCTCATGATGGAGGGTGTGGAGGTCACATTTTAGATGGGCCTGGCTGTTCTTTCAGTCTTGGAGAGGGTATGAAGGTCATGAGACCCTCCTTGCTTAAAAAAGACCATTATCTTCTCAGAGGGACCAGCAGCTGGTGCAGTGGGGGATGATTTCTCACTTTCCCTCTCACTGTCTCTCTCCAGCGAGAACACATCACTTAAGGCAAAAACCTCTTTTTAAAAAAGAATATTTATTTTAAAGTCTGAATCTGATTATTGTGAGGTCAATGGACCTATTATTTGCTTTGATTTTCGTTCATTTAGATTTTTTCTGCTTCTCATGTGGTTACTTTTGATTGAGTAGTAGATACTATACACAAAGTGGTATACAAATAAATTGATGCCTTTGTTAACCCAAAAAGGCAAACTGAGACAAAACATGGGAAACAAAGGTGCATAGATCTAAGGTTGGACAGACAGCGCTGGGCAAATACCCTCCAAGAAGCCAGGTTGCAGTGGTTCCCATGTGAGGTTATAGTTCTGGCAAAGTTCTCTAAACGACAGATCTTGTTATCAAGCACGCTAGCATGAGAAAGCATTTCTTCTATGGCTGGTTTGGTTTAATGAAGGTTGACACTAATGAGACCATTTGATTCTGAAAAACTTTCACAACTTGTTATTTTTCTTTAGACAGGAATTACTTCTGCTTCTTGTAGGCAGTTGAGGATACTTGTACTCCAACCATCTAAATCTATTTTCAGAGCTTTAGATAATTCACAATTAAGCTTCTGGATCTGGGGCTATTTCTGTTTACCTAATTTATACAATATAGAGATCTGTTTTAACTTTTTAAAAGTCGTAGTAGCAATTTACTTTTAAGATGTATTTTTGTTTTGTTGTTTTTTGCTACTAGGGCACATGAGCTCACCAGAGACAGTGAAATAAGAAATCACCTCCCAAGGGGGATGGCCATGCTGCAATCCCTTCTCCTCCAATCTCCTCTTAAGATCTTGGGTATGCACACACACATCTGGTGTGATTTTCATGCCACTGGGTTCAAGACTCAAACCACGGACCTGGGCATGTGGGACCTAGTGCTTACATTACCTGCTAGCCCTTAAGATGTGCTTTTATTTTTAGAGATTTTTGCTATGGGGTGTGTACACTCACCAGAGAGACAGAGAGAAACAGAGACAGAAAGTAAGAAATCACCCCCCCAGGAGGGATAGTCATGTCACAATCCCTTCTCCTCCATTCTCCTCTTGAGATTTGGATTTTAGGGCACACTTAACACATGCACCTGGCGTGAGTTTAAGCCACTGAGTCAGGACTTGAACTGCGGTGGACCATGTGTGAGTCCAGCAATGTAACCATTACACCATCTGCTGCCTCCTAAGATGTGCTTATAATAAAAATAATTATTTTCCAGGACCAGCAGATGACATAATGGTACATCGCTGGACTCTCACGTAATCAATGGCAGTTCAGGTCCTGGGCCCAGTGACTTAAACTAATACCAAACACGTTTGCATGCATGCTCAAGGTCCCGAGAGGAGAATGGAAGAGAAAGGATTGCAAAGTGACCATCCCCCCAGGAGGTGATTTCTCATTTATTGTCTCTCTGTCTCTCTAGTGAGCACAGGTGCCCTACAGCAAAAATCTCACTAAAAAATATTTTTAAAAATAATAATAATAAATTTTATTTAAGAAAGTACTTTAATATTTGCATGAAAGTTAGAGATACTGGGACCAGCAGTTAGTGTAATGGCTATGTCGCTGGACTCCCATGTAGTCAACCGCGGTTCGCGTCCCGGACCGGGTAGCTTAAAACTCACGCCGGGCGCGTGTGCATGCATGCCCAAGATCCCGAGAGAAGAATGGAGGAGAAGATATTGTGGCGTGGCCATCCCCCCTGGGGGGTGATTTCTCATTTTCTGTCTCTCTGTCTCTCTTTGTCTGTCTGGCGAGTGCATGCGCCCTATAGCCAAAACCCCTTCAAAAAAATAAGTTAGAGATACTTTGTCTAAAAATGTAATCGCATATACTGTTTATGTTAAGAAAACTAATTTCTAATAAATATTTTATGTATAATTTTTGCCTGAATGTATTTGTGGGAGAAAAAACCTTTTCAAAGCTTTTTTGCATTTTTAAATTTATTATTATTGTTTATACGTTCAATCACTATACATCATTTAGGTTGTAAAGAGACTTTACCCAGCATGATATACACCTCAGTCCAGTCCAGTTGAGAATACTATACACAACCTTATCAACAGATAATAAATCATATCTGTGTCCCACAAATGACTCATCTATTTTTTCCCTAAATTTCCTTTCTAACACTCCTCCACTCCACACTCTCCTCGCACTTTGTCTCTAGTGTCCATAACAATTTTCAATGCTTCTATGTCCTCCAGTCTTTCAGTCTCTACAATTGAGTGTGGACAGTCAGTATACATTAAGTAGAGATATACAATGTCTCTCTTTCATAGCCTGACTTTCTTTACTCAGCAACAAATCTTCCATATCCATCCACTTTCTATCAAATTCCAGGGCCTCATTGTTGTTTTTTATGGCTTAATAGTATTCCATGGAGTATATGTGCCACACTTTTTCAATCCATTCATGTTTGTGGACATTTGGGTTGGTTCCATGTCTTAGCAATCATTGTGCAAGCGCTTTTCTGACTGAGCATTCTTCTATCCTTTGGGTAGCTACCCAGGAGTGGAATTGCTGGATCATATGGTAGTTCTACTTGAAGATCTTTGAGAAACCTCCATTTTGTTCTCCACAGTGGCTGGACCAACTTACATTTCTACCAAAAATGTAGGAGTATTCCCCTTTCACCACAT